AGGAGGCCCGCGAGGCTGCGGAGGAGGCAGAGGTGGGGGCCCAGCTGCACGAGGCCACCACCCAGACCCTGTGGAGCTGTGCCGAAAAGGCCGCGCAGACCGAGCCCCCGGCGGAGGTGTCCTCCCTAATTCAGGAGAGCTCGCCCGGATCCACGGACAGAGACAGGGCCGTGGCGCCCGCGGGTGAGTCCCGACCCCGTCGCTGGGCCCTGGCTTGCTGGGCGCCGGACTCGAACTCAGTGCCCTCATCTCATCCCCGTCAGGCATCCTCAAATCCATCATGAAGAAGAGAGACGGCACCGCTGGTGCCCAACCCAGCTCCGGACCCAAGAACCTGCAGTTTGTTGGGGTCCTCAACGGAGAGTGAGCGCCTTTCCCCTCCCGTGGCATCTTCTGCCGGGACATAGGCTGGGGTTGGAACCCCAGCTCTGCCCCTCTGCTGGCAGCGTGGTCTGAGAAATCCTCAGTTTCCTCATCTATAAAATGGGAACGACCACATCCACGTTGCAGGTCTCCAGAACAAGCCCACAGGGTAGGTTTAGCAGACGCCTCCCACCCTGCCCCCAGGTACGAGAGCTCCTCCAGCGAGGACGCCAGTGACGGCGATGGCGACAGCGACAACGGTGGCGCCGAGCACCCGGGTAGCTCCTCGGGCTCCGGGGATGACAGCGGCGGGAAATCCGACTCGGGCACCCCTGGCCCTCTCAGCGGCGGGGACATCCGGGACCCTGAGCCCGACGCGGAGGCAGAGCCTCAGCCGGTGGCACAGGGGAGGTGAGCGGCGCTCGCTAGGAGTTTGGAGAGGAGGCAGCTGCTCCCCTCCTGGTTGGCGCTGCCCCCGATCCATCCTGAGCCTTTCCTGGCGTTCTCTGCAGGTGTGAGTTGAGCCCGCGTCTAAGGGAGGCGTGCGCAGCGCTGCAGCGGCAGCTGAGCCGGCCCCGCGGAGTAGCCCGCGACGGCGTGAGTGCCCCGGGAGCCCAGCACCAGGGAGTGGCGCGGGCGCCTCCAAGGACCTCTGACACCCACTTAGGGGAAAGCACCGGGTCCCATCCCTTTCCGCCAGGCATCTCGACTTATCCCGGGTTCTCCGAAGGGATCTCCTTCCCAGGACAGCGCCGATCTTTCCTTGGTTTCCCCAAAGAGGCCCGGCCCCGGCCCCACTCCCGGACTCCCCAGGGGCAAGCGCTCATTGCCTTTCCCCATTCCAGTTTCTCCCGCAAATTCTTCCCTAGAAGGAAAGGACCCCCTCCCCGCATGTTTGCCCTTCGATAGAAGTGTGGCCCCGACGCTCCATCTGGGTCCGCGTGGCTCCCCACCGGGACGAGGAGTGACCTTCCTTCCCTGCCTGGAAACGCCAAAGGGGTCTCTTCCCAGTACCCCCTCCAACTCCCCCAACATCGCTGATGTCATCTTCGCCCCTATCTCGGCAGGGCGCAGTGCGCCTCGTGGCCCAGGAGTGGTTTCGAGTGTCCAGCCAGCGGCGCTCTCAGGCGGAGCCCGTGGCCAGGATGCTGGAAGGGGTGAGGCACCTGGGACCCGGGCTCCTGGCGCACGTGGTGAACCTGACGGATGGCAACGGAAACACGGCCCTCCACTACAGTGTGTCCCACGGGAACCTGGCCATCGCAAGCCTGCTGCTGAATACGGGTCAGAGCCAAGGGAGGGTGGGTGGGACACCAAGAAATAGGGGAGGAGAGGGCAGGGGGCTGACCTAGGCTCAAAGACTCTGGAGATGAAAGCAGAGAATGGCTGTCCAGCACAGGGCACCACTCCTCCTCGAGTT